AAAACTAGTACTAGATGACATGATAATTTGTCTGGTTACTTTATCAGTTATTTTACACTCTGCTGTGATTCTTATCTAGAAAACATTAGAAGACATCAACGTGCTGATTAGTATCTTTAATTTATCTCTTCAATGATTTTACAGAAGTCAGTTATGTATACATGTTGACAACACACCATGCAGCAGTACTCATCTTTAAATGTCTTCAAAATAATAATGTCAGGAATCAGAAACTTCACCAACAAAGAGGAAATGTAAAAGTCTGAGAATATTGATAAAAAAGCTCAGGCAACATTGTTCTAGAAACATACAAACGAGAAGTATTTGTGTTGATTGAATGCATGATGACAACATCAAATATAAATGAAAGATATTTTACATATAAGCATATTAATTAAGAAAAGATGAAGAGAACATTCTGTAAATGGTTGTATGCATGCTGCTTTTAAGAGAATGATTGTTAATGTAAATTCAGTAGTTTTGCGTCAGAAACTTCACACAATAAAACCAAAAACTGCTCTAAGTAGACAAAGAATCACTAATTTTTTCACTATTTCTCCAGGATGGTCCATGTAGTTTTACTGTTTTTCTGGGAGCAATGAAGAGAGATGGGAACATCCTCCGATGCCGAAAGAAAAGACAGCAAATGGAAGTGAAGCTCACACACACACATGCTCATGCAAAAAAGAACCGCTTGCTGTACTAACACACACACACACCTCTTGTGTTAACCACCGATGCTTTAAGGTCTGTGCACTTGTTTGATGAAAATGATACACCTCACAGCACAGCCTTTTTGTCTGATGAAATCTCCCTTCCACCAGAGGTGGAGGATATTCCCTCCTCTTTGTGGGCATCACAAATACGATGATACAACAATAACCCTTATAGCAAGAATCCATAGATGGCATAACAACTGTGTCCAACTCCTTACTACAAAACAGCATCTTGATTCCCTGTCCAGACCATACGTCTAGACTTATTGGGTTTCTCTTTTGTCTCTGACTCCTCTGTACTCGCCTCTGGCCCTCTTCCTTACCGCTTCTCAGCCCAGGCAGCAGAGCTGTTTGCTTTGACCGAAGCCTGCAAATTGGCCGCTCACAAATCTGCTATGATAATGCTTCAGGAGGATACACTTCAGTGTCTTTAGTGGTAGGTGTGGTTGGTAGGAGGAGAAGCAGGGTCAGTACTGATGTCACACCTGAGGGGGGTGTGGTGGCTCTGTCTCTGTAATCTTCATGAGCAGCATCTGCAGAAGAGCAGGTGCATTGGTTTTGATTGGAAAGGACGCAACGAGGGAGACGCCAGGACGCAAGACACCTGAGAGACTGAATCTGAATTAAAGTTTTTTTTGGTGTCGACACTTCACGTTTTTTTTGCACATAATCGAAACTGGTATGAAAGAGCGCGGGCTGGCGGAGGAGATCGCTCCCAAATGACTCTGTGGATCAGGCTGTCCGAGTGTGCTGGTCGCGGCACGAACGAGGATCTTGGCGGTGAGTCACCTACACGCACCCCTTAAACAGACAGGACTGTTGAACACATTCAGGTAAGGCAGAAGTTATGGGCTAACAAGCCTTAGAGTCAGGCTCAATGAAAGCTTTTAGCTGTGGGTTTGCATAGCGGTGTAACCAAGCTGTTACTATTTACACAGACTCCAGGTATGCGTTTGGTGTCGTTTACTTTGGTGCTTTTTTAGGAAACATCACAAATTTCTAAAATCTGATGGTAAACCTATGAAGAAACCATCCTGCCATGGACTAAAGCACTGGTGCTGATGTACATGAGGATGAGGAGAAGAGCGCGCTATAACCTAAGCCCATTTGAAATCCTCCTTCCAGCACCACCACATGTCGGCGTCGAGCAGCCTACACATGCATTACCTTCTTCCTTTCTCTGTGAAAATGACATGCTGAAATACTGTCTTAACCTGTCCTCCACCCTCTCCAATGTCAGAAAGCAGGTTGCATCAGCAATCCCACGCCCAGCCACGGGTCCCCTCCACTCGCTGCAGTCAAGTCCTTAAACGGTGGCAAGGACCCTTCCAGTTCCTCCTGACCACCCACCCTCAAGATAGCTGAGAGACCCACCCGACACCACTCCACCGCAGGCCCAGCCTTCTGCTGGGTGAAGTGCTAGCAACCTCTCCCCTATTTGGTCATAGACAAACCAGCTGGACGAACACAATACCCAGCCAGAAGAAGTAGCCAGAAGAAGCAGCCATCATTGAACAACGACGCCCTTGGCATCCAGGTGCATGTGGCCTCCACGGCATCACACTCGCCCTCTTCCTCATCACTGGAGTAGTCACCTCCCCTATTTTTTGCTCGAAGTCCAATCCAAGAAACAACCCACCACATGGCCCTTATGGCCACCATAACCCAACCATGAAACTAAAGGGGGAGTGAGAGCCAGCACATCAGTCAGGTTATCTAATAGGAAACTCCCACCCAGCGGTGTTTCATCAAGTTAGACCCACAACACCTCTGGAAGACTTGGCAGCAAGCTCCGGCGTCCCAGAGCCACCCTCCTTAATGCAAGCTCTCAGCGTCCATTATACCCAGCTGAAGAACTTCTCTGAGCTATCGCGTCCTTCTGTAAAAAAGGCCAAACAAACAAACAAACAAAAAATGAAACTATTCCTGGTGCTAACATTACACAAGAGAAAATCAAGAGTTGAGTCTGTAGAGAGTTTGTAGAAACAGGATAAACTATCCTCTGACTCACAGACCATAATACTATGTCAGGCCTCAGGCTAGTGAAACTATTTCCTGTGGAACAATGTGTTTTCAAATCCACCTGCATCTCCCAATCACCAGCACCCTTTAGATAGCCTGACTCCTGCCTACCTCCCTTACATTTCTCTCCCTCATGGACAAATTCAATGGCTGCACTATTTGTACCAATACAACAGGATTTCACCTGCCCCCTTCTACTTTCTACTCCTCTTATTGTTACAAGAGTGATTTACATTAAAGAAAAAGTATAATTTGTCTGTGATGGTCTGGTTTCCTTTTGTAGGTATTGAAGAGGCTTCAATGTTATTGCAGTCTGTTCATTAACCTTCTGAATGTTAGAATGTAATCTGATACCGATATATCGGCCGATATCTTCCTTAGATCTATTTTTAATCTGTAGAGATAGATCAAAATATAGATAAAAACATTAATGTTGATCCCTCAAATGCAGATGCAACCCAAATACACCTGTGGAAAAGATAGACCAGGTAGACAAGATGGTCACTGAACTGGAAAGTAACTGAGCATGAACGTGTATCATCACTTGACACTCAGGAGAGTGATCATGCTTGTTATAATCCATATAGCGCCCTCCACTGGTGAAAGAGAACTGCTCGTGAATGAATCTAGTAATATCGGCGCATATCTACAATAAAATTAGCCGATACCGATAGTCACTGGATATGCTAAAATCGGCCGATATTATTGGCTGGCCGATTTATCAGTCAGGCTCTAGAACAGGGGTGTCCAAAGTGCGGCCCGAGGGCCATTTGCGGCCCTTGAGGGGATTTTTTGCGGCCCGTGACTTCAAATGAAGGATCCGAAGATTTTGGCCCGAGGCCTTGATTAAGATTGGCACATTATCTTATTTTTCTTTTTCATGTTAACAAGGGCTGAACACTATTCCTAAAATAGAAAATGTTCAGTAACGTGTATGTTGATGTTGTTTTAAATCTACAGCTTTTGCTATTTTCCACATTTTTTTGTAAACTATGAAACTATGCAAAGTTTTTGCGAACAAGCGGACTGTTGTTTAACCATTTAATGACCTGAGCTAAATGCAGAAAGCGTTTCCAAAAAAAAATAAACCACGTTACAGGCTTGATTCTGAGAAAAAAAACAAATAAAGTAGAACGAAGAAATCAAAATATTTGATTTCCTTTTATTAAAGGGTTTCTTTACCGAGCCTTTTAAATCTGATCTACAAAGCCTTACTATTTTTTCAACTATATTTTAAAAAAACAAAACCTGTGGCCCGCAAGCGATTCTAAAACGACAAATTTGGCCCGCAAGAAAAAAAGTTTGGACACCACTGCTCTAGAAGATACTGATGTTATGCTATTAGCTGAGATCAACTTTTAAAACTCTGATAAACAAGATGGTGAATACTGAAGTGAAGTAATTCTACAGCAAGCAAGAAAAACAAAACACCTCAAATTAGTTATTTAAAAAAATCTTATTTGAAAGGGATTTAAAGACAAACTCAGTTTCTCGAGAATTTTACTTGAAGTCCCCTTCGCATACAATTCTTGAGAAACTGAGTTTGTTAATAAAGGAAGTTTAGAGAATAAAGGAACCAAGACCATTTATATCCATATAAAAGGTTAGGTGATGTCTAACCGGAGTTGCTTCACGGCCCTTTGAGCGATGATTAAGTTGTTGCTTGCATTATTGTTGGACGTGGCGACCACTGTCGATGGACAAAAAGTTGAGAGCTACTTAAAATGAACATGAACGGCTGGGCAGGAATTAACCCTGACTGCTCCAAACCCTGAACCCGACTGGGGAACGTTGGTCACTTTTTTTGTCAATAAAAATTCCATGGGATATGTGGGGAAAAAACAAATCAACATATTGTATTTTTCTAATATTTAATCTATCTACATAAAATACCTCTTCATGCACAGATGGGCAGGATTTGTAAAGGTTAAGTCTGACATATTCAACAATCAGTGTAATCTTTTTTTAAAGTGTTTATTTATAACACCTGCAAACTTGCAGAATAGGTTACAGTTTTCACCTAACTTGAAAAATCTGTCATTAGTTTAATAATCTACTTTCAAACAACATTGGTTCAAGACAAATGTAATTTAAAACATGCTGAAAGAACATATAAAGTTATATTTAATGAAAAATTAAAATCATGTCTGCACCCAAAATGACCACAGCAGTGAAGAAGAGTTTGGTAACATGTTTTTTTTAATACATTTTATTATTTCTTTGTTATTGTTGATTTGTTACACAATCATTACAAAGGACAGAAGAATCAGAACAGACTGTGTGTGAGTGTGAAAAGTTTGATTATAAAAGGTTAAACCAGTTTTTAAAATAGTTTCATGTCTTGTGCATAAGAGAAACGTCTTCATGATATGACATTATGGGATGTGTTGGTGTAACCAGCTCACTTAGTTGACTTGTCCCCTAAAGATTAGTAAAGAGAAATAACAAAAAACATGCTTGTTATTTCCACACAGTTTATTGTGTTGGGACATCAGCCCTCAGACTGAATCATATTTTTACTTACAAGCAATTGGTTCAGTGGTGACGCGGTCCATAGCAACAGAGCTGGAAACAGAGCGATATTTCCTCCTTTGACAGGACTTCATGGTGGAGAGGATACAGAAAGAGCAGATATTGTCACTGTCAATTTTTTTAAGCAGCAGTGATTATGGGTGAACAACTGTGACGGTCACTGCCTTAGTGAGGCTGTTACTAATTGATTCTGTCCCCCTAGTTCTTTAGGAGTTGGATGGTCCAATCTAGAGCACCTGGGCCTGTTGCTTGCAGGGCATAAAAGCCCGACCCCAGGGTGGATCTTCTCTCACTCTCTCGCCTAACAATGACATTCATCCCATGTTTGTTTGTGCTATAGTTGTGGGTGCATTGTTCCACTAAATCATTGTTACCTCAATTTAAGTTGTTCTTTATCATATTTGTCATGGCCATGGAGCCAGGTTATGACACAACTCACTGATGAAGTGAACTGTTTGACTTACTGGGACACAGTGAAATCTCTCTCGGTCACACAGGCTTATGTTGCAGTGAAGATAAATGGCTCTATAATCGTCCTCCAGCAGAAAGAGCAGGGCAGAGAAACGAGCACGCAAAGACATGCCGCTCTCAATCACAGACACCTGTCGGGCATCGGTCGAACACCTGGCAGAGAGAACGAAAAGAGCTCACCAAGTCCATAAAGCATATTACACTACATCTCACTTTTCTCCATTTCAGTTTAACTCCACAAACAATGTTCTGAGTCTAAAGAGAAGAGGGACACTCACTTGTTCTGGATGAGAGAGTATCGCTGGTAATAGTGAGGATCGGATGAGTGAGAGGCGTAACATTCCTCCAGAACAACAACAAATCTGAGCTCTCTTTCTGTTACAGAGACACCCACGTACAAAGGTGAACCCAGTGGCAGGTTGACCCCTCCAGCTGGGAAAGTCTCAGTGAAGGCGGAGTTACGGAAAAGAGACATGACGGCACAGGGTTCGGCACCAGAACCAGATCCTAAAATGTCCCATGACGACCTATAAAGAAAGTAAGTTTAAATTGATTTGCAATTAAACATCTTTATCTCGTACAATTGTAATTATTTCAGAATACCATGGATATTTCTTTGTGGTTTAAGTCGTAGTAAACAGACAACAGGCAGTGAAATAGCTGACTGTCCAAAAAAAAACAGCGTTTGGACCTCACTCAAACCCTACAACACTGCTTTCATTCACTGTGGTACCATCAGATTCTTGGTTTAATATTGCTATGGCAATTTCCACTTTAAATTAGATTTTTTTTTTTTAAATGATATCACTGATCAAACCAGCACAAGTGTAATTTTATTCATCAAGCCAGGATTTGTTAGTTGCTGAGGTCTTGAGAGCAAAATTACATTATGTAAAAGCTGATTCCAAATTCACAAACTAGGCTACAAGCTAAAAAAAAGAAAATCTGTTGCAGTAGCCATGTTTTAACCTGTAGAGGGCAGTCACTATACACATTTTTAACACAATATTTTGAATTTCAATACTTTGTACTCAAATGTCGAGACTTGGACCTGAATTGATCCACAACGGTAATTAATACTCCTATTTAAAAATGATGAAAAATATACAAATGATTCTTGTTGTATCACAGTAACAATATGAATCGTTTTCCTTGACTTATCTTTTAAATGACAAATGTAGTGTACATTTTGTCACTAACTGACAACCTCCTTTTTTTGATATGCCAAAGGTCTAATGGAGCCCCCTGGTGGATTATCTATGTGCTGTATGTAACTAAAGGAACTCACTGAGGACATGTGTATCAAAAATGATTCACCTGGTTATATAGTTAATATCAACATTAGATCTCAGAAGTATTATCAGGTATTAGTTAAACAGTTCACATGACATATTGACTAGTGCATAGTTAGTAACAATCAATAAGAGGGAGGCTACTTACGGCAGGAATGGTCTGATAGCCACATTCAGGCTGGTGTCTGTTTCCAGGGGATACGCACAGGAGAAGGGGATGCTCACAGGAAGGTTAAAGGACCCATTGATAACAGGGTAGACAAATAAACTGTTGGAGTAGATCGCATGTGTGCGGTTGGTCTGAAAAACAGGGGTTGATTGAATTAACGGAAAGTACATAGACATGTAAACTTTAGTTGAGCAGCTGCATTAAAAGCATTACCAAAGAGAGGGAGAAAAAACTTCCCTACAGGGGGGAGAAGCTATATTTAAAATGTTTTAAGATAATGAATAATGAGTCCCTGTGCACCTTAAATTTAGTCTCAGACCAACCAAAAGCGATAAGGTTTAACTTGGAGTACAGTAAAAGAAGAGGGACAATAGGATAAATATTTTAAAGAGGTCCAGATTTTAACATTTTTTCCATTAGCTGCATGTTTAAAATCAATTTGAAGAAAAATAACATGAAAAAAGAAAATGTTGAAATTAATTTCCAAAGGAAAAGCTAAGAAATAAAACAACAACTAAGTCTGTACCGTCAGAGTGTTTCCACAGGCACCTTCCACAGCGTCTACTTCATACCACACCGTGTTATTTTGTACTCTGGCCCAGGAGCAATTAAGAGATGCCAAGTTTCCAGAGTATGGGTTCAAACCTGAGGTGAGGTCAGCCAAATCCAGCCCCATTTGAAGTTTATCAGGGCTGCAAATTAGCTGGTGATCATGCAGTGCAGAGTCTGGAAATAAAAGAATAAAAGGAAGAGAACACAATAAAAATTATTATGCATATATCCTGTGAAACCAAATCACAAACTGTTGTTTCACTATAAACATATTTTTAAAATATTTAAGAAAATCATATTAGTACAAATATTGTAGTTTAATATGAGTAACAAAAATTGGTGATTACTTAAACAAGAGTAAACATTAACCTTCACAGATGACACTGGCATCTTCAACGTGATTACAGTTGTGGACCCCAAGCCCTGGATGTCTGCACTCTGTTATTGATATTTCGTTGCCAGAACAACCAACATCATCCAACCAGATGGGTCCACTGCACTGTCCAAAAGCTGCATTTAGTAATGCTGAACGAGGAGGGCCACAGTCCAGCTGTCTACACACCACGTTAGCATCACTGAGGTCCCAGGCATCGTCACACACTGTCCCCCACCGACCATCATGGTAGACCTCCACTCTGCCAGAGCAGCGGTTATTAGAGTTGACCAGCCTGACTGGTGCAGCAGCTGACGGAAAACATGAGGCATTATGTTGATGATGAGAGACACAAGAAAGAGTGACTTCAAAAGACAAGATGTTTAAATATAATAAAAAACAGCAACAACTTGTGTTTTAGTAGTGTAAAGATCATGTTTTATATTTATCCAACCTATTACTGACAACTAAAATCATCATTGACCCCTCAAAGACAAGTTATATATTTTAAAAATACATACTATAGATATCAATTTTAAAATAACAAATACTATTTAAGGTTGAAGAGCATGTAGACAGATCTCTGTTGAATATTAAAACATGGAAAGCTTTTGACTAGAGCCTGACCGATTAATTGGCTAATATTAGCATATCCCGTGACTATCGGTAATCGCTAACTTTATCCCATATGTGCCGATATTACTAGATTTATTCACCAGTCAAAAAGCATTTTATTTGAGTTTCATTGTCTTACACTAGAAGTTCTCTTTCGCCAGCAGAGGGCGCTATATGGATTACAACAAGCATTATCACTCTCCAGATTGTCAAGCACTGATGCAAGTACATGCACAGTTACTTTCGAGTGGAGTGACCATCTTGTCCTCCTTATAATGTATATATTTTCAGTGTTTGATAACTTCATTTGAGGGATCAACAAAATAGATTTGTATTAGTTTTATAATTTCTACAGATCGAACATATATCTAACAAAAAGATATCGGCTGATATAGCCGTATTGGATTTTCTTTTCTCCCCAATATCAATATTGGTATAGCCTCCAAAAATACCATATTGGTCAAGCCCTACTTTTGACAGATCATAACAATTATATTTACCTTCACAGACGACACCAGCGTCTTCATTGTGTCCACAGTTGTGTGATCCAAACCCTCTGTGCCTGCACTCTCCAAGCTTTGATTCGCTGCCTGTGCAAGAGACATCATCCATCCAGATGGGTCCACTGCCCTGTCCAAAATAGGCAACTGATGGTGCTGACAGAGCCCTGCCACAGCCCATCTGTCTGCACACCACCTGAGCATCAGCCAGGCCCCATTGATCATCACACACCGTCCCCCACTGTCCACGGTGGAAGATCTCTACTCTGCCAGAGCAGGACTGGTTCCCTCTGTTAACCAGACGGACCTCACCCTCAACTGCTGAGCTGTTGTCGGGTGTTGTGGTGGAGAGGATGTCAGCTGTCACTTCAGCGGTGGTGATGGTCCCAGGTCTGGGATCAGGAGTGGTGGGTGTAGGAGCCAATTGAGCGTGTGTGTATTTATGTGTTTTATTTCAATTGCTTTAGTTTCTATGTTTATTTATGTACTCAATTTGGTTTAATTGGTCAGGTGGTTGGTTGAGTGTATATATTTCACAGGTGAACCGGAAACGGGGGCATAGGTGGTGGGAACATACGGTTCTTATCGTAACACAACGTAACACAGGATAACGCAAGGCTATTTAACATAACAAAAGAACGACAACCAACAGTATCATCTCGGAAATAACAACTCATCAAATCATCATCACGGTTTGTCTGCTTCATATGTGATAATAAACTGGAAAATCAGAAAGTACTTTAATTTTGGACATTTGTTTATTTTTTTTGCAAGTGAGTAAAGGCAATATAAGAAATTTGGACATTACATAGTCACTACATTGGGTACAACTGTGCTGTTGGATTCTGGTTGACCTAAAAGAAGAGTCTCTATCAAGTCCTTACACAACTACAGTCTACATTGTTATCAATATTTATGAGCAAATGATCTCTTTCTTTATCACAAACATCAGTCAAGTTAGAGTTGGGCATAAATCTTGATCCATATATTTAAAATATTATACCTAGTACTGCACTTTGAATGTACAGTGCTACAAAACAACGTTTATTACATGTGGTCAGTGTTTGACTTCATTCACGAGAACACTTCAATAGACAAATAGGAGAACAAGAATAGGAGTTTTAAAAAAAAGTATAAACATTAACCTTCACAGATGACACTGGCATCTTCAACGTGATTACAGTTGTGGACCCCAAGCCCTGGATGTCTGCACTCTGTTATTGATATTTCGTTGCCAGAACAACCAACATCATCCAACCAGATGGGTCCACTGCCCTGTCCAAAAGTTGCATTTAGTAATGCTGAACGAGGAGGGCCACAGTCCAGCTGTCTACACACCACGTTAGCATCACTGAGGTCCCAGGCATCGTCACACACTGTCCCCCACCGACCATCATGGTAGACCTCCACTCTGCCAGAGCAGCGGTTATTAGAGTTGACCAGCCTGACTGGTGCAGCAGCTGACGGAAAACATGAGACATTATGTTGATGATGTGAGACACAAGAAAGAGTGACTTCTGTCATGATATGGTCTTGTTTAGTTGTGTATTTTCAGTGTTTAGTTTTCCTTGTTTTAATTTCTCATTCTTCCCTAGTGTTGCTCAGTTGTCACTTTCTGTCTTTCTTGATGATTGTCTATTCTAGTGTTGCTTGTTTCCCTTGTGTGTCAATGTTTCCTTGTTTGATCTTTAGAGTTTCCTGTTTTATTTTGTAATTACATATTCTTGTGCTTCTCTATGTTCTAGTGTGCTTTGTTATTGTTACATTCTTGAGTTCTCTTTGTGTCTTCAGTGTTTCCTGATTTATATTGTAGTTCTGGTCCTCAGGGTTTCTTGTCTTAATTCCTGTCTCTGTGTTTCCCTGTGTCATACGTCTCACCTGTGTCTGATTACCCTGTGTCTATTTAGTCTTTGTGTTCCTTCCCTCGTGTTTTCAGATCATTGTAAGTTGTTGTATGTTAGTTGTAGATGTCAGTGTTTCCTCGTGGTTTGTGTTCTTCTTTTGGACTTTTTGGATATTTCAGTTCGTAAATATTTACGTTAGTTTCTGCAATAGGGTCCACCTCCTTTGTTTTTTTTAACATTCATGACAACTTCAAAAGACAAGATGTTTAAAAAAGAAATTGTAACAGTCTCTAGCTTAAGAAGTGTAAAGATTATATTTCATGTAAATCAAATAGTTATCTGACAAGTAAAACCCTCTTCAACATCATAAAGACAATGATATATGTTAAAACTACATACTACCTATCTACTTCAACAGGACAAAGACTCCTAAAGGTTGAAAGGCATGACGATAATATTTGCATCAAACTCATATTTCTCCATCAGGTTCCTGATTACTTAACTCCTCTCTGCCGAATATAACACCATAACGAATTTCTGACAGATCGAAACAATTATATTTACCTTCACAGACGACACCAGCGTCTTCATTGTGTCCACAGTTGTGTGATCCAAACCCTCTGTGCCTGCACTCTCCAAGCTTTGATTCGCTGCCTGTGCAAGAGACATCATCCATCCAGATGGGTCCACTGCCCTGTCCAAAATAAGCAACTGATGGTGCTGCCCTGCCACAGCCCATCTGTCTGCACACCACCTGAGCATCAGCCAGGCCCCATTGATCATCACACACCGTCCCCACTGTCCACGGTGGAAGATCTCTACTCTGCCAGAGCAGGACTGGTTCCCTCTGTTAACCAGACGGACCTCACTCTCAACTGCTGAGCTGTTGTCGGGTGTTGTGGTGGAGAGGATGTCAGCTGTCACTTCAGCGATGGTGATGTTCCCAGGTGTTGTAACAGGTGTGGTGGGTACAACTGTGCTGTTAGATTCTGGTTGACCTAAAAGAAGAGTCTCTATCAAGTCCTTACACAACTACAGTCTACATTGTTATCAATATTTATGAGCAAATGATCTCTTTCTTTATCACAAACATCAGTCAAGTTAGAGTTGGGCATAAATCTTGATCCATATATTTAAAATATTATACCTAGTACTGCACTTTGAATGTACAGTGCTACAAAACAACGTTTATTACATGTGGTCAGTGTTTGACTTCATTCACGAGAACACTTCAATAGACAAATAGGAGAACAAGAATGGGAGTTTTTAAAAAAAGTATAAACATTAACCTTCACAGATGACACTGGCATCTTCAACGTGATTACAGTTGTGGACCCCAAGCCCTGGATGTCTGCACTCTGTTATTGATATTTCGTTGCCAGAACAACCAACATCATCCAACCAGATGGGTCCACTGCCCTGTCCAAAAGTTGCATTTAGTAATGCTGAACGAGGAGGGCCACAGTCCAGCTGTCTACACACCACGTTAGCATCACTGAGGTCCCAGGCATCGTCACACACTGTCCCCACCGACCATCATGGTAGACCTCCACTCTGCCAGAGCAGCGGTTATTAGAGTTGACCAGCCTGACTGGTGCAGCAGCTGACGGAAAACATGAGACATTATGTTGATGATGTGAGACACAAGAAAGAGTGACTTCTGTCATGATATGGTCTTGTTTAGTTGTGTATTTTCAGTGTTTAGTTTTCCTTGTTTTAATTTCTCATTCTTCCCTAGTGTTGCTCAGTTGTCACTTTCTGTCTTTCTTGATGATTGTCTATTCTAGTGTTGCTTGTTTCCCTTGTGTGTCAATGTTTCCTTGTTTGATCTTTAGAGTTTCCTGTTTTATTTTGTAATTACATATTCTTGTGCTTCTCTATGTTCTAGTGTGTTTTGTTATTGTTACATTCTTGAGTTCTCTTTGTGTCTTCAGTGTTTCCTGATTTATATTGTAGTTCTGGTCCTCAGGGTTTCTTGTCTTAATTCCTGTCTCTGTGTTTCCCTGTGTCATACGTCTCACCTGTGTCTGATTACCCTGTGTCTATTTAGTCTTTGTGTTCCTTCCCTCGTGTTTTCAGATCATTGTAAGTTGTTGTATGTTAGTTGTAGATGTCAGTGTTTCCTCGTGGTTTGTGTTCTTCTTTTGGACTTTTTGGATATTTCAGTTCGTAAATATTTACGTTAGTTTCTGCAATAGGGTCCACTCCTTTGTTTTTTTTAACATTCATGACAACTTCAAAAGACAAGATGTTTAAAAAGAAATTGTAACAGTCTCTAGCTTAAGAAGTGTAAAGATTATATTTCATGTAAATCAAATAGTTATCTGACAAGTAAAACCCTCTTCAACATCATAAAGACAATGATATATGTTAAAACTACATACTACCTATCTACTTCAACAGGACAAAGACTCCTAAAGGTTGAAAGGCATGACGATAATATTTGCATCAAACTCATATTTCTCCATCAGGTTCCTGATTACTTAACTCCTCTCTGCCGAATATAACACCATAACGAATTTCTGACAGATCGAAACAATTATATTTACCTTCACAGACGACACCAGCGTCTTCATTGTGTCCACAGTTGTGTGATCCAAACCCTCTGTGCCTGCACTCTCCAAGCTTTGATTCGCTGCCTGTGCAAGAGACATCATCCATCCAGATGGGTCCACTGCCCTGTCAAAATAGGCAACTGATGGTGCCCTGCCACAGCCATCTGTCTGCACACCACTGAGCATCAGCCAGGCCCCATTGATCATCACACACCGTCCCCCGTCCACGGTGGAAGATCTCTACTCTGCCAGAGCAGGACTGGTTCCCTCTGTTAACCAGACGGACCTCACTCTCAACCCTGAGCTGTTGTCGGTGTTGTGGTGGAGAGGATGTCAGCTGTCACTTCAGCGATGGTGATGTCCCAGGTGTTGTAACAGGTGTGGTGGGTACAACTGTGCTGTTAGATTCTGGTTGACCTAAAAGAAGAGTCTCTATCAAGTCTTACACAACTACAGTCTACATTGTTATCATATTTATGAGCAAATGATCTCTTTCTTTATCACAAACATCAGTCAAGTTAGAGTTGGGCATAAATCTTGATCCATATATTTAAAATATTATACTTCATTCACGAGAACACTTCAATAGACAAATAGGAGAACAAGAATAGGAGTTTTAAAAAGTATAAACATTAACCTTCACAGATGACACTGGCATCTTCAACGTGATTACAGTTGTGGACCAAGCCCTGGATGTCTGCACTCTGTTATTGATATTTTGTTGCCAGAACAACCAATCATCCAACCAGATGGGTCCACTGCCCTGTCCAAAAGTTGCATTTTAATGCTGAACGAGGAGGGCCAGTCCAGCTGTCTACACACCACGTTAGCATCACTGAGGTCCCAGGCATCGTCACACACTGTCCCCACCGACCATCATGGTAGACCTCCACTCTGCCAGAGCAGCGTTTAGAGTTGACCAGCCTGACTGGTGCAGCAGCTGACGGAAAACATGAGACATTATGTTGATGATGTGAGACACAAGAAGAGTGACTTCTGTCATGATATGGTCTTGTTTAGTTGTGTATTTTCAGTGTTTAGTTTTCCTTGTTTTAATTTCTCATTCTTCCTAGTGTTGCTCAGTTGTCACTTTCTGTCTTTCTTGATGATTGTCTATTCTAGTGTTGCTTGTTTCCCTTGTGTGTCAATGTTTTGTTTGATCTTTAGAGTTTCCTGTTTTATTTTGTAATTACATATTCTGTGCTTCTCTATGTTCTAGTGTGTTTTGTTATTGTTACATTCTTGAGTTTCTTTGTGTTTCAGTGTTTCCTGATTTATATTGTAGTTCTGGTCCTCAGGGTTTTTGTCTTAATTCCTGTCTTGTGTTTCCCTGTGTCATACGTCTCACCTGTGTCTGATTACCTGTGTCTATTTAGTCTTTGTTGTCACTTTCTGTCTTTCTTGATGATTGTCTATTCTAGTGTTGCTTGTTTCCTTGTGTGTCAATGTTCCTTGTTGATCTTTGAGTTTCCTGTTTATTTTGTAATTACATATTTCTTGTGCTTCTCTATGTTCTAGTGTGTTTGTTATTGTTACATTCTTGAGTTCTTTGTGTCTTCAGTGTTTCCTGATTTATATTGTAGTTCTGTCCTCAGGGTTTCTTGTCTTAATTCTGTCTCTGTGTTTCCCTGTGTCATACGTCTCACCTGTGTCTGATTACCTGTGTCTATTTAGTCTTTGTGTTCCTTCCCTCGTGTTTTCAGATCATTGTAAGTTGTTGTATGTTAGTTGTAGATGTCAGTGTTTCCTCGTGGTTTGTGTTCTTCTTTTGGACTTTTTGGATATTTCAGTTCGTAAATATTTACGTTAGTTTCTGCAATAGGGTCCACCTCCTTTGTTTTTTTTAACATTCATGACAACTTCAAAAGACAAGATGTTTAAAAAGAAATTGTAACAGTCTCTAGCTAAGAAGTGTAAAGATTATATTTCATGTAAATCAAATAGTTATCTGACAAGTAAAACCTCTTCAACATCATAAAGACAATGATATATGTTAAAATACATACTACTATCTACTTCAACAGGACAAAGACTCCTAAAGGTTGAAAGGCATGACGATAATATTTGCATCAAACTCATATTTCTCCATCAGGTTCCTGATTACTTAACTCCTCTCTGCCGAATATAACACATAACGAATTTCTGACAGATCGAAACAATTATATTTACCTTCACAGACGACCAGCGTCTTCATTGTGTCCACAGTTGTGTGATCCAAACCCTCTGTGCCTGCACTCTCCAAGCTTTGATTCGCTGCCTGTGCAAGAGACATCATCCATCCAGATGGGTCCACTGCCCTGTCCAAAATAGGCAACTGATGGTGCTGACAGCCCTGCACAGCATCTGTCTGCACACCACCTGAGCATCAGCCAGGCCCCATTGATCATCACACACCGTCCCCACTGTCCACGGTGGAAGATCTCTACTCTGCCAGAGCAGGACTGGTTCCCTCTGTTAACCAGACGGACCTCACTCTCAACTGCTGAGCTGTTGTCGGGTGTTGTGGTGGAGAGGATGTCAGCTGTCACTTCAGCGATGGTGATGATGTTCCCAGGTGTTGTAACAGGTGTGGGTACAACTGTGCTGTTAGATTCTGGTTGACCTAAAAGAAGAGTCTCTATCAAGTCCTTACACAACTACAGTCTACATTGTTATCAATATTTATGAGCAAATGATCTCTTTCTTTATCACAAACATCAGTCAAGTTAGAGTTGGGCATAAATCTTGATCCATATATTTAAAATATTATACCTAGTACTGCACTTTGAATGTACAGTGCTACAAAACAACGTTTATTACATGTGGTCAGTGTTTGATTCATTCACGAGAACACTTCAATAGACAAATAGGAGAACAAGAATGGGAGTTTTAAAAAAAGTATAAACATTAACCTTCACAGATGACACTGGCATCTTCAACGTGATTACAGTTGTGGACCCAAGCCCTGGATGTCTGCACTCTGTTATTGATATTTGTTGCCAGAACAACCAACATCATCCAACCAGATGGGTCCACTGCCCTGTCCAAAAGTTGCATTTAGTAATGCTGAACTTTGATCTTTAGAGTTTCCTGTTTTATTTTGTAATTACATATTCTTGTGCTTCTCTATGTTCTAGTGTGTTTGTTATTGTTACATTCTTGAGTTCTCTTTGTGTCTTCAGTGTTTCCTGATTTATATTGTAGTTCTGGTCCTCAGGGTTTCTTGTCTTAATTCCTGTCTCTGTGTTTCCCTGTGTCATACGTCACCTGTGTCTGATTACTGTGTCTATTTAGTCTTTGTGTTCCTTCCCTCGTGTTTTCAGATCATTGTAAGTTGTTGTATGTTAGTTGTAGATGTCAGTGTTTCCTCGTGGTTTGTGTTCTTCTTTTGGACTTTTTGGATATTTCAGTTCGTAAATATTTACGTTAGTTTCTGCAATAGGGTCCACCTCCTTTGTTTTTTTTAACATTCATGACAACTTCAAAAGACAAGATGTTTAAAAAGAAATTGTAACAGTCTCTAGCTTAAGAAGTGTAAAGATTATATTTCATGTAAATCAAATAGTTATCTGACAAGTAAAACCTCTTCAACATCATAAAGACAATGATATATGTTAAACTACATACTACCTATCTACTTCAACAGGACAAAGACTCCTAAAGGTTGAAAGGCATGACGATAATATTTGCATCAAACTCATATTTCTCCATCAGGTTCCTGATTACTTAACTCCTCTCTGCCGAATATAACACATAACGAATTTCTGACAGATCGAAACAATTATATTTACCTTCACAGACGACACCAGCGTCTTCATTGTGTCCACAGTTGTGTGATCCAAACCCTCTGTGCTGCACTCTCCAAGCTTTGATTCGCTGCCTGTGCAAGAGACATCATCCATCCAGATGGGTCACTGCCCTGTCAAAATAGGCAACTGATGGTGCCCTGCCACAGCCCATCTGTCTGCACACCACCTGAGCATCAGCCAGGCCCATTGATCATCACACACCGTCCCCCACTGTCCACGGTGGAAGATCTCTACTCTGCCAGAGCAGGACTGGTTCCCTCTGTTAACCAGACGGACCTCACTCTCAACTGCTGAGCTGTTGTCGGGTGTTGTGGTGGAGAGGATGTCAGCTGTCACTTCAGCGATGGTGATGTTCCCAGGTGTTGTAACAGGTGTGGTGGGTACAACTGTGCTGTTAGATTCTGGTTGACCTAAAAGAAGAGTCTCTATCAAGTCCTTACACAACTACAGTCTACATTGTTATCAATATTTATGAGCAAATGATCTCTTTCTTTATCACAAACATCAGTCAAGTTAGAGTTGGGCATAAATCTTGATCCATATATTTAAAATATTATCCTAGTACTGCACTTTGAATGTACAGTGCTACAAAACAACGTTTATTACATGTGGTCAGTGTTTGACTTCATTCACGAGAACACTTCAATAGACAAATAGGAGAACAAGAATGGGAGTTTTTAAAAAAAGTATAAACATTAACCTTCACAGATGACACTGGCATCTTCAACGTGATTACAGTTGTGGACCCCAAGCCCTGGATGTCTGCACTCTGTTATTGATATTTCGTTGCCAGAACAACCAACATCATCCAACCAGATGGGTCCACTGCCCTGTCCAAAAGTTGCATTTAGTAATGCTGAACGAGGAGGGCCACAGTCCAGCTGTCTACACACCACGTTAGCATCACTGAGGTCCCAGGCATCGTCACACACTGTCCCCACAGACCATCATGGTAGACCTCCACTCTGCCAGAGCAGCGGTTATTAGAGTTGACCAGCCTGACTGGTGCAGCAGCTGACGGAAAACATGAGACATTATGTTGATGATGTGAGACACAAGAAAGAGTGACTTCTGTCATGATATGGTCTTGTTTAGTTGTGTATTTTCAGTGTTTAGTTTTCCTTGTTTTAATTTCTCATTCTTCCCTAGTGTTGCTCAGTTGTCACTTTCTGTCTTTCTTGATGATTGTCTATTCTAGTGTTGCTTGTTTCCCTTGTGTGTCAATGTTTCCTTGTTTGATCTTTAGAGTTTCCTGTTTTATTTTGTAATTACATATTCTTGTGCTTCTCTATGTTCTAGTGTGTTTTGTTATTGTTACATTCTTGAGTTCTCTTTG